AACACTAAAATTTGTGTTTTTAGTACTGGTTTCCTCTTTGGTGTTATTTCTTAGAAGAACAGATTAACTAACTCATTTAAAAATTCCTAATTTAGTAATTTCCTTTAAAGAGTTCATCTGCTTCTGAGAGTGGCACACTTTTGGGGATTTCCTGTATCTGATCACAATAAAATGGGTGGGGAAGGTGAACTGCAGAAAGAGCTGAGATTATTTAATCAAGTGCATCGTAATTTCAGATACATTTTGTCCACTAAATCTTTGAAATAGATCTAAAATACAATTTCTCCTTATATTCTTTTATGCACAAATACAGCTAGTATTTCTACCTAACCATTCGCAGAGAGATCAGGGTATGTGTAACCTAGGAAAGTATTTAGACGACTATCTCACAAATTAGGAAACAATGCTGCTCTTAAATTACAGTGTTTATTATTATCCAAATGTGTTTCAATAATAGCAAAATATAGAGAGTGAACATTTTAAAATTATACCCATTGGTTTCATCCAATTCTTGAAAAGATAAAAAATACATAGCCAATGTGTAAATACTTTAATATGTATCTTCTATGACTACAGAGGTCTTTACTGAAAAACAAGTTAACTATCCTGTTGTGAAGTGGGAAGTATTGTTCCTCTAGAAGATCAAGCACACCATCCAGAAAGTTGCCACTGTCAAAAATTTTAGCACTCTTTCTCAATACAGAGGGAGGTGAGGTTAAAAACTACTGATTTATTTGACAGAAAAGTATACAACGGCATGATCATCCTATTAAGCAACTGCTCAAATTTAACTCCATGGCAGAAGTTAATCATATTTGAAAACTCGAATAGTTAGAACATATTAGACACTCAGTTACAAATACAGTTAAATATAGTACATGATGTAAATTGTGGGTTAGAAAATAATTGAAAATAGGCTACTTAGGGGAAGAAATATATAAGAATATTTCACTTATACCTTAAATAAAATTCAATGTTAAAAGGCCAATATAAGTCCGGTCACAGTGACTCATGCCTGTAGTCCCAGAACTTTGGGAGGCTGAGGCGGGTGGATCACTTGAGTTCAGGAGTTTGACCCCAACCTGGCCAGCCTGACCAACGTGGTGAAACCCTGTCTCTACTAAAAATACAATTAGCTGTACAATTAGCTGGGTTTGGTGGTGGGCACCTGTAATCCCAGCTACTCGGGAGGCTGAGGCAGGAGAATCACTTGAAACTGGGAGGTGAAGATTGTAGTGAGTCAAGATCGTGCCACTGTACTTCAGCCTGGGCAACGAGAGCAAAACTCTGTTTCAAAAAAAAAAAAAAAAAAAAAAGCCAATATAATATAATATTTGTGACTTTTAAAAAGTAGTAAGTGATACAGTAAAATAAAATCAATGGTTATGGTGTCAAATACAGCAGGTTTTCTAATTTCAGAATTTAGGCCACAGATTCTCAGAGTAAGGAGTGATCTGGCTGGGCACAGTGGCATACGTCTGTAATCCTAGCACTTTGGGAGGCCAAGGCAGGCCTGAGTTCAGAAGTTCAAGAACAACCTGGGCAACACGGTGAAACCCTGTCTCTACTAAAATACAAAAAAATTAGCTGGACGTGGCAGCATGCACCTGTAATCCCAGCTACTTGGGAGGCTGAGACAGGAGAATTGCTTGAACCTGGGAGGCGGAGGTTGCAGTGAGCCAAGATCATGCCACTGCACTCCAACCTGGGTGACAGAGCGAAACTCCGTCTCAAAAAAAGAAAAAAAAAAGAAAAAAGAAAAAAAAAAGGACTGAT